AACGTATTGCTACGAGAGACTATTTTTGGCTTAGTTTTTGGCGGATCTTGTGCTAGGAGCAACATTCCATTTTTGAAAACACTTTCCCCGCTGATACCAAAGGAAAACTACTCTGCCTAACCACCTTGTTTGTTGCCGGGAGTATGTTGAAGCCATGTTCAACAGCATCGATGTCCCCCTGACTCATCTTATTTCATATCGTTATCGAAATCGATTTTTTAATTTTAGTACTTTTCTAGCACTCACACATATATTTTAAGATACATCATACATAGCGCTAGAAGCGCCATTTCATTTTGTAAAACCATCACTTTTATTTTTAGTCTTAGATAAGAACTCAATAAAGGAGGAGTTTTGAAATATCCCACAAAATTTGGAAATTTGTTTCATTTTTTTGGGAACCAAACAGCAGGATCCTGAGTTGATGCCAGGATTCTTCAGTCAATATGAATTTGGCAAATTATGTTTTTAAAAATTACCCAACAGGAAAATTGGGAACGCATACAATTTGAAATTGTTCTTTATTAAATGTGCTCCCGTATTCAATTTACTCAATCTGCCTGCTGGGAATGTTTTACGAAACAAATCTTTCTTCATGGAATAACTCGCAATTCCCTGCATTTTCATATGTGTTACACATATAAGTGGCAATAACTCAATTATAGGAAAGATGTGGAAGCGATCGAAAAATAAATTTGATAGATTTTCATTCATGTTTTTCAAATTTTATTTTGAGGATTCGAAAATATTTCATTTTCAAAATAAATATAATTTGTTTGTTTACATTTTTCTGTCAAATGACGTTGACACTAGTATAACTTACAACAACAAATTTCCATGTGGTTGTTGTATCGTTTGTTGTGCAACAACACTTTCTGTTACCTTCTATTATTAAGTGTGTCCGGCTACTTTTCCAGTAACATTTATTCAGTAAGTTCCATTTCAGAGAGTAAGTCGTTTTTACTGTCTTTTGCAATAGTACTGAGAAAAGTAAACATACAACATTTAGTAAGACAGCTGATTCAAGAAAATAAACAACAAACAAAGGACGTTCCCACGACAATCGGATCTACGCTCCGGAACGACCCGAGTTCGACTCGACCAGGGATTGTCAACTCAGCGACAGCTGTACAAAACGAAAGTTTTTTCCACAGGTGAGTAATTCATGTCGGCAGCTTTGCTCGTCATACTTTTAATCCGTGCCGGCGTTGAACAAAACCCAGGCCCTGATGTCTGGTTTTGTTCAGTGTGTCATCAACGCATAGCTGCAAATTCCACCTCTGTGCGATGCAATGTTTGCAACAATTGGTGTCACCTGAGGAGGTGCTCAGGTCTCACCTCACACCGCGACTGGTCACGCAGCTTCATTGCCAGCTGTTGCCTGCAGCCTTCGACATCTAGCACCTTAACTCCAACAGCCCCGAGAAGTTCCATCCTTTCTCAGCAACCTGCCCAGAACTCCAAGTGGTACTGTTCGGTTTGCGGGGAAATCATACGGAGAAATATGACATCTGTAAGGTGCAATGGTTGCAGAAACAGGTGCCATATGAGAAGATGTACCACCCTGCGTTCACACAGGAATTGGAATCCAGGCTTTGTAGCCGATTGCTGCACTAACAATCCAGCAATATCCGCTGGAATCCAGTGGAGTCCTTCCAGTACTACGGCTAGCACTCCGTCTAGTTTTCCATCCAGTAGTACTGCTACTAGTGTGAGTACTAGTGGTAGAGCTAGTTATTCCGTTAGCTCTTCCTCCAGTTCTGCTGTTAGCTCCCCGGCTAGTTTTCCGTTAAGCAGAACTCCTACCAGTTCCAATGCTGGTAGTTCCACTAGTTATTCTACTAGTGATTCGCTAGCACTCCGTCTAGTTCTCCATCCAGTAGTACGACCACTAGTGCTCATACTGGTAGTGAAGTTAGTTATTCTACTAGCTTCTCTTCCTATTCTACGGCTAGCACTCCGTCTAGCCATTCATCAAGTAGAATTCATTCTATTGTTCCGACTGGCACTCCTTCTAGTCATCCTATTCCAACAACGAATGCTCAAAACTTCCCATCCAGACAACAGCGTTACAGGCAGGTTTTCCGTTTGCCGAATAACTCCACCCGCCTGCTCCACAGCAGCAGTCCATGCAGGGGAGTGATCCAAATACCTCATTCCTAATCATGCAATTTAATTGTAATGGTCTTAGGAATAAGGTAAGTGAGATCACAAACTTCATGCATGAAAACAACATCCTCATTGCTGCCTTGCAAGAGACGAAGCTGACCAGTAGTTGTTCCTTATCCTCCTCCGGGAATTACAATATCATTCGGCGAGACAGAGATAGAGACCATGGCGGGGGACTCGCATTCATCGTCCAGCGAGATGTCAGATATACTCTGACTACCCCTCCGTCTCCTTCCCAGTCTGATCCTTTCCTGGAGGTTTTGAGCATTTCAGTTCATTCCGACGATGCTGAAATTGAAATTGTCAATGTATATATTCCGCCCGTCAACAGCATTGGGGCTAGTTATCATCCAAGCATCATCCATCTGCTGCAGGGAGATAATAAACTTGTTCTTGGCGATTTCAACGCTCATCATGATATGTGGTATTCTCAACTTCCAAATGATCCTCGCGGTGTTCTTATTGCAAACCAGATAGACGAGTCCGATTTCGCTTCCATCAATGAGGAATCCTCTACCAGAGTCACTGCCAGGTGTTCGAGCTCTCCGGACATTTCCATCGTCAGTCCATCGCTCCTTCCATATACTTGGCAAACCAAGGTCGCTTTAAATTCAGACCATATTCCCATCCTGGTCACGGTAGAGAAACCCAGCGATTTCGTGGAGCCCGATCAGCGTTCTTTCATGAATTATAATAAAGCCAACTGGCACGGCTTCACAAAATTCATTGAGGACTCCTTAAGTCCTATGCCGCCACACGTATGTGCCAGGAAGGGTGAGAAGATTTTCCGAGAAATTATTCAAAAAGCGGCAAAACGCGAGACCAAATTATCCATCCATGGCATCCAGATTGGCACAGCAACGCGACCAACTCCGTGCTGAAAGCCCCGCTGACGACAGAATTCCGCAGCTTAGCGCTGAAATAGATGCTCTAGTCCTTGAGCACAGGCGCTCCAAATGGTTAGAACACCTTAACCACTGCAACAAAAATTCCAAGCAGCTATGGTCCACAATTAAGAGTCTATCTGGTTCCAAAAGAAATAAAAATCTCCCTGCTACATCCTTCGATAACATTCAACATTCCGATGCCAAAAATGTGCAATGCAGTTCTGCCGCCAATTCATTGAGCATCCATCTTCGCAGAACAGGACCAAGCGAGCAGTTATCCGGAGATCCAAGAATCTTAAAAGAGACTTGCAGCCACTATCATTTACATCCAGCGAGGTAGAGGCAATTATCTCCAAATCCAAACCATCCAAAGCCCTTGGTCCAGACGGCATATCCATGTTCATGTTAAAGAAGCTTGGAGCAATAGGACTGGGCTATCTGACCAAAGTCCTCGAGTTATCGATGTCACAGTTGGTAATTCCTGACATTTGGAAAGTTGTCCGGATTATTCCAATCCTAAAACCTGATAAATCCGCTACTAATGGGGAATCCTACAACCCGATTTCTCTTCTGTCACCAGTAGCCAAGGTTTTAGAGTCTCTATTGCTTCCGTCCCTGTAACAGCATTTCGTTCTTGCTCCCCACCAACATGGTTTCAGGGAATCATATAGCACAACAACGGCTTTGCAAGAAATTATTTCCAAGATTGCGAATGGCCTCAATCAGCGACGACCACCTGAACGGACCACTGTGGCAGCTCTAGATCTGTCCAAGGCGTTTGATACGGTCGATCATTCCGAGCTGATTTCTGATATCACAAATTCCACCCTTCCATGTGATATCAAACGTCGGCTTGCCAACTACCTTAAAGGACGGCAGGCCTTCGTTGAGTTCCGTGACCAAAAATCCAAATATCGCAAAATCAAAATGGGAGTACCGCAAGGCGGTGTCCTTTCTCCCATTTTGTTCAACATGTATCTTGCGAAACTCCCCATTCCTCCACCAGATGTTTCAGTGGTGTCGTACGCCGATGACTGTACGATTATTTCGTCCGGCGTTAACATTGACGACCTAAGTGCAAGAATTTCCAACTATCTAGCCAACATCTTCCGGGAGCGCAATCTAAAATTATCCACTGCAAACTCTACCGTGTCACTTTTCACCTCCTGAAGCGAGAAGTCAATCTAGAACTTGACATTTCCGTTGAAGGTAGGCGCATCCACACCGTCGATAATCCGAAAATCCTTGGGGTGGTCTTCGATAGCCTCCTTCATTTCTCCTCGCATTCCAATTACATCAACCAGAAGGTGAAAGCTAGGAATAAAGTTCTGAAAGCTTTGGCTGGCACCTCCTGGGGCAAGGATAAAGGAACGCTGGTAACCTAACCATCACACTGTGTATCGTGATGACATCCAAGACGTCATTCCATCGGACGTCAACAGATTGTCGATAGCGAACGCGATGAAATCCGTGCATCAACTGGCGGTCTCCGATGCCATAAATGGCAACAGATGCAATAAAGTCCTACAACAACATCCTCCTGCAATTTCGGAGAGTGAGAGGTGGCACAATTTCTCCGGCTACCCTCTTCAAATCAGAATTCCTAATTAATTAATATATTTTCCTTTTCCTTCCGTTTTCTTCTATCAACATTTTTCAGGAAAGAACTTTCGTCAACAGCCAACCTTGTAACAGGTTCGTCCTTGTAACAGGACGAACACAATTATTCTTATTGCATTTAATATTAAAAATAAAATGAATAATAAAAGCAAAAAAAATTATTATTTTTTTTTTTTTTTTTTTGGAAATTGACTTTCTTACTCTAAATATAAAATGTAACAAAAATCGGCCAAGCCGTTGTATTAATATAATAATAAGAGAATTTTTAAGATTATCCAAATACAATAATTTACCAAATTATTACGTAACATTTATTTATTTTAGGGTTTATGTTGGAAGCATATCCTTCGAGTTAAAAGAAGATACTATTCGTGCGGCATTTCTTCCATTCGGGCCTATAAAATCCATAAACATGTCATGGGATCCAATAACACAGAAACATAAGGGTTTCGCTTTTGTTGAGTATGAAATTCCAGAAGGAGCTCAACTTGCATTAGAGCAAATGAATGGAGCTCTAATGGGAGGACGTAATATTAAAGTTGGACGCCCAAGTAATATGCCACAAGCCCAGCAAGTTATAGATGAAATACAAGAAGAAGCTAAAAGCTTCAATCGAATTTACGTGGCATCTATTCATCCAGATTTATCAGAAGAAGACATAAAAAGTGTTTTTGAAGCTTTTGGACCCATAATGTATTGCAAATTAGCACAAGGAACATCTCTCCATACACATAAGGGATACGGATTTATTGAATACGCTAATAAGCAAGCAATGGATGAAGCAATCGCGAGCATGAATCTTTTTGATCTTGGTGGTCAGTTGTTGAGGTAAGAATTCATCAAACTTTCCTTACTTCTGAATACATTTAAAATATTTTTTTCACGTACACTGTTTTTATTTACATATTTATTTTTACAGAGTTGGTCGCTCAATTACACCTCCAAACGCACTTGTCAGTCCGGCTACCAATTCCACAATGCCAACTGCAGCTGCAGTCGCAGCTGCGGCAGCAACTGCAAAAATCCAAGCTTTGGATGCTGTAGCTAGTAACGCCGTTCTTGGGTTGTCTGCCGCAACGCCAGCCCTAGGAATATCTCCGCTTGCTAATGCTAAAGTAGGGACATTACCCTTGACAGCCGCTCCAAGCACTTTTCATCCTTCAATAGCTCTGCCAGTAACGACAGGCCAAGCATTCCTGGCGGCCAGTATGTTTCAAAATCAAAGTGTAAATCCCAGCTTACTAACTGCAACCGCATCTACTTTACAAGCCGTCACCACTCAAGGAATTAATTCTGCCAACAAAGCTATAATTGCAAATCCCCCAGGCATGACTGTACCAGTTGTAGGTAATATTGGATCTATAACGACTGAAGGTTTTGTAGCAACTCCACAGGCAGGAGTTGTTAACGCCTTACTTGCGAAATCTGCTCTGTCAGTTGGTAATCAACAAGACAATCAAAAGAAGGTGCAAGAAAAGCAACAAGAAGAACTCCAAAAAAAGCTTATCGAGGAAGGAGAAACACAAACGTTACAGCAGCAAGAGAACATGTCAATTAAGGGACAGAGTGCTAGACAATTCGTAATGCAACGCTTAATGAGACCGCAAGAATCGCGAGTAATAATCCTCCGCAACATGGTTGGACCAGAAGACGTTGATGAAACCCTACAAGAAGAAATTCAAGAAGAATGTAGTAAATTTGGAACAGTAAGCCGTGTAATTATATTCAATGAAAAGCAAACTGAAAACGAGGACGACGACGAAGCAGAAATAATTGTAAAAATATTTGTCGAATTTTCTATTGCGGCAGAAGCAGAACGTGGCAAGGAAGCATTACATGGTCGATTTTTCGGTGGTCGCAAAGTCATTGCCGAACTATACGATCAGTCGCTTTTTGACCATGGAGATCTATCTGGTTAATAATACATGGCGATAACTTTCTCATAAATAAATTTAAATTATCATATAAATAATAATCCATAAATCAGATTTGTCACAATTATCGTGGATATATTTAATAAAATGTACATTGCAAAAATATAAACTCTATCCCATATGATAAATATATAGATTTGAGCATTGGTCATTTATTTGTTTTTGCAACAAAAAACTACGTTATTTAAGAACGCAAATGGTAGCAAACGAATTGCAAATATCATTCGTTTGAAAAAAAAAATAATTATAAAAAACATATTTGGTTATTGTAAGTGAAAAAAAAATAACAAAAATGGTAAGTTTATGTTGTGTGCCACTGTCAGAACCAGGATTCGGAGAAGGAAAACAAAATACAAAACAAATGAAAATATACTGCAATTTCAAATCTGTAGTGCGATGTCGTAACTACAGCATTAGGACCAATATGATTTTAGTGCTCCAGTAATTTTTAGTGTAGTTATAAAATTAGTTGACTAACATATTATTATAATTTACTAGCGGGCCCGGCAAACGTCTTGCCTAGCAATATTGTTGATGTATAATTTTTGGCGTTTTAGATTTGTTTGTATACCCTACACCATAAGGTGGAGTGTACAGATCTTTGTAATACCATGGTATTTATCAGAGCACACATAAAAATACATTACTGATTATCTACAATTGTATGTTTATGAACGAGTTTTGTTGCTATTTTTGTATTCTAGAGTTTCGGTGGATATACATTAATTAATATTTAAATTCGTGGAAAAAAATTATGGGTCGATTATGTATAGCAACCAAACTTCAGTTGCGATTTCAACTGGCAACGCCACTGAAATAAAACTTAACATTATGAATATCAACTTTTCTCAGTTGCCGTCGATAATACTGTTTTAACACTTCTGTAACTATATAGAAAATTTGACTAAAAGAAAAATTGATTTGGTATGTTCCCAGGGAACATTTAAGCTTCATGCATCAATACATTGCCCTCTATCTGGACTTGCCTAAAAATATATAAGGAATTAGTTTCTATTTTAATGAATCTTTGCATTACTTACGAATTTTCTTCCATTTTCTGTAATTTTTATACAACTTAACATGAAATTGAACATTGCAAATTAAAAAATGTTTTGAATAATTGTTGTGTTTGATCATAAAACAGCTGATCCGAAATTGACTGAGTTTGCAAAATCTTACTGCATAAAATTCATTCAGTAAACATTTAGTAACAATTGTTACCAAATATCGAGTAAACAGACAGAGCTATTAGGTGTGTCTGGTTACTTTTCCAGTAACATTTATTCAGTAAGTTCTAGTTAGATAGTAAGCCGTTTTTACTCCCTTTTGCGATAGTACTGAGAAAAGTAAACAGACAACATTTAGTAAGATTTAGCAAATAAACAGCTGATTCAAGAAAACATTTGATTTGCGCCAAAATAAACAAACAAACAAGGGACAAACACAATTATTTGTCTTGCATTTAATATTAAAAATAAAATGAACAATAAAAGAAAAATTGATTTGGTATGTTCCCCGGGAACATTTAAGCTTCCTGCATCAATACATTGTCCTCTAGGAACTTGCCTAAAAATATATATATATATATATAATTAGTTTCTAATTTAATGAAACTTTGCATTATTTACGAATTTTCTTCCATTTACAGTAATTTTTATACAACTTAACTTCAAATTGAACTTTGCAAATTAAAAAAATGTTTTGAATAATTTTTGTGTTTGGTCATTGATGAGATGACTCCTGATCTCATCACAAATGTGCGACGGGAGAAATTGGAGAAAACAGAAACGCACGGTGTTGACGGTTCCGTCGTTCGAGGTGAACTCATTTTATTTCTAATATTTTCTTAACTCTTAACCTAATAATACATAGAACTACAATGCATTTGAAATACATATATTGAATGTGTAAATAGATTTGGGTTTGGACACATTTATGGTCTTTATTTACGATCACCCAAAATACACACAGACAAGAAATATTCTAAATGCATTCTTATGCGCGCCGTGTGCAGCAATCTTATCTCTATTTACCAACGCACTATTGACGTTCCACTTGAGACCTGCACACACACCATGCGTGAGAGTCATAAATAGCATATTTTATGATCTACATTATAAATAGAATCTTAGAAAGCAACTATTTCCATTTGACTACCTGACTCCAAAATGACGTACAGTTCACTAAACTGCACAGACTGCGGGCCTTAAAAGATCCCAATCTTTTAACAAAACATGTATAGATAAAATGTATGAAATACACATAATTTTCTTAATACTAACAATCGGTTGAATTTCTAAAATTTCTAAATATATAAAAAATGCTAAACATAAGTTCTAATTGTAATAGAGATGATAAAAAATAGGAACAGCTTCACTATGCTCTTTACACCTAGGTTATGGCACCCGCAACATTCAGCAGCCAGTTGCAGCATGACTCCATCTTCCACCGATGAAAAACTAGGAAAAACTTTTTTCTTCTTAATGGGTACTTCTCTTCCTTGAAGTTATTTTTCTCTTCAGTGGTCATGAAATTACAGATGATTTTCTTTGTGTTATGCAACATCTTAGCATGTGATGTAGCGGCTTTCTCAGGTTCTTTGTTTTGCTTTAATGGCTTGCAGCAGTAAACATTTCCTGGCAAAAGCTTGTAAGAAGGAGTTAATACAGGACCCTTGTGTTCCAGCGTATTCCATTTGGCACTTTCTTTATTTTCATTATTCGACCTTTTACAAGCATATTCTTTCACGATGTCCTTTTGATCGTCATTTTGAAGTTTTGTGGGTAAAGTCGTTTTTATTTTCACCGCAGCTTGGTATGAATTTTTACTCGTATCCGTTTTCAACTCCTTAAAGTCATTTTCATCGACGTGTTTTCCTATTTTGGGCAGTGACTCATCTTTATCTATGAGTGCATTTTGGACAGCAGGACAGCCGTCGGTAGCGCCAACCGCTGGACCAGTGACTGTTACCGTCGGGTTGGTATTCTCTGCAGTTTCACTATGGGCTCTTAGGGTTTCGGCAACAATTTTCTTTATAGGATCTTCCCAGCCACTCTTTCGATCTTTATCCTTGAGGATTGTGTCTGGCTCTTTCATTTGCAGCACCTTTTCTCCAGATGTTTTATTTAAAGTTCGTGATGACAGCACTTCTTCAACTGCATCTTTTTTCTTTGCAGTCTCTATTGTTTGGAAATTCGCGTTATCGATTTTATGCTTCAGTTTACGCGTTATTTGTGGTTTGTTGTTTTCGACTTCCACACCGACTCGCGGAACATCAACGTGACCGTTTCTAATTTTTGTAGTCTCCGTCTCACTCGTCCCTAAGTCATATTCATTCTCTAAACGAGATTCTTCATTCACGACCCTATATGTAATCAGTTCGTATCCTCTTCTAAAATTAGTATCCTTTTCTAATACTTCATAGCAAATCTCAAGAAACAAAAATCTTCTAGCAAGAACACTATCTACAGGTAAATTCAAGCCATATTCTAAATATCTACCTTCAGCGTTTACATACTTATGAAAGCTAATTCTTGAGTTGCTCAGAAGAGCATTCTCAACCTCTTCTGCTAACTCCTCTAAGGCAAAACTTAGTCGCCTAACTAGTGTATCTTTTTCTTGTGGCGATAGGAAAAATATATCGCTATCTTCATACTCTCCTGATGAACTTACGCTGTTCTAAGGGTTCTAAGGGTATGAAAATACCCCTCACCCACATACGGGTTTCAATCTCGTCAAAAGCATACCGTACTCCCAAACCAAACAATATATGTTTGTATGGAACCTTTCCCATACGGTGGAGCTTCTCCTCATTATCTAGGAATTCCCTCCTTGCTTCTATGAAGGAATTTGCTAACCCTAAACAATAATTTCTAATTTCTTCTGTCACACTTTTTTGAGCAATTTTGCTCAGCTTTAAATAAATAGACACGATATACTCGCCCAACATCCTTTGATGTTGAATGAATTGTTCAAAATTCATTTTAACGAAACTATATCTGTCTAAGTCTATGCTATGGAAATATGAACTGTCCTTCCTTCGACTGTCCTACTCCACTAATTTGCCGGGTAAACCTTGGTAGTGCCTTTCACTACGTATTCACCACGACAATAAAGGAAAACGACTAACACTGCCTTTGCTTCAGCAGTGCGCCTATTCCAAAACAATACGTGTAGACTTAGCACGGTTTGCCTTCACCTGCATATCTAACACGTTACTAGCACTTCACAAAACACTTCACAATAGACATAACGCAGTTCTTTCTTTACTACGCGTCTATTGTTTCGCTTCGCGACAAACTAAACGTATTTTTTTTATACGCGCCTATCACGCCACTAACACTATGTGAAAAAACCGATTTTATTTTTTTTTTCTTTTACGGCCTATCACTTCACTAAATACTACGCGATAACCAACGTAGTTTGTCCTTTACTACGCGCCTATCACGTCTGAGATGACTCCTGATCTCATCACAAATGTGCGACGGGAGAAATTGGAGAAAACAGAAACGCACGGTGTTGACGGTTCCGTCGTTCGAGGTGAACTCATTTTATTTCTAATATTTTCTTAACTCTTAACCTAATAATACATAGAACTACAATGCATTTGAAATACATATATTGAATGTGTAAATAGATTTGGGTTTGGACACATTTATGGTCTTTATTTACGATCACCCAAAATACACACAGACAAGAAATATTCTAAATGCATTCTTATGCGCGCCGTGTGCAGCAATCTTATCTCTATTTACCAACGCACTATTGACGTTCCACTTGAGACCTGCACACACACCATGCGTGAGAGTCATAAATAGCATATTTTATGATCTACATTATAAATAGAATCTTAGAAAGCAACTATTTCCATTTGACTACCTGACTCCAAAATGACGTACAGTTCACTAAACTGCACAGACTGCGGGCCTTAAAAGATCCCAATCTTTTAACAAAACATGTATAGATAAAATGTATGAAATACACAT